GAACTATGCTAAGTAAGTGACTTGTTATAACTGAGTATGTGATTTAATCCTAATTATTAATCAAAATGGGTGTACCATCAATATATAAACCAGTGTATTTTAGACTATTGTGATTCATTATTATTTGTATCATCATCGTCGTAGTGTTTTGGGGCTAATAAATCTTCACTTATACCAGTCTTTGTGTTCTTACTTTCGCATCGTGGGAATTGCAGAGGTCCCTCGTTCAGAGTATAAGTGATAAGCGTTTTTCCGGCACAGCAATCAACGACGACCAAATATAACAGATGTTCAAGCATTCTGATATAACGGAGAATAACCACATAATTTTCATTGACAACTGATTAACTGAGTAGTTAACGACACACTATGTAAGTAGCCCTGATTTATTTGAAATAAGTACAGGCTAATTAACGTAGGAATTAAAAATCAAAGATTTTATACTACACAGTTTATAGGTTTAGTGGTTAAAAAGTACGACTTTCGAACACTAATTCTCAGATTAGAATCCCCACTGTGTGTACGTTGGTTTGGACAAGCAGATAGCAACACTAATTCTCACAATAAGGGTGCGCCTCATATTCAATCACCCAGTGAATTAGTTTATTTTATTCGATAATAGTTTAAAGGATTCGTTTATCTACTTTATATACATATGCTGGTCCAGTAATCGGATTATATAAAAGAAAATCCAACTAGTGGGCAAAAACATGTTCCTCTTTACAACTATTTAGTATTATTTGGCAGAAAAAGATTTCGAACTGTCAAATTAATAATATAGTATGGGTTCGAATTCCATACTGTTGTCCTTATTATTGGATATCCAAGCAACTACTTGCAATATATCATTCTAGAAGCTTCAATCACAAAATATTTGGACACTAGCAGAACTTGGGTTACAAAACAACCGAACTGATCATTTAGAGGGTTAGGTTTCACTTTCAAATGCAATCAGCATCAAACAATCGCACAGTGTACTTTTACCATATATCTTTTTAAGCAGATTGAGTTCCTATTTGCAGTCATTTATAATAAAAATTAAACGTTATGTTATGACCTTGAATGTCTTGTCTTGCTATCACGCGACCTACCGACCAATCCGGATACGACTTATACGAATCTTCACACTAGGCCAACCAATGACGTTCAACCGGTGTGGGCAGTTTAGCGTCCTTATTGGTCCTATGTCCTACGAGCCCTTCCACTTGAGTCCAGAACACAATACCAACTTCGAATCAGAGCAGATCGTTTATTTCAGGCATACTTAGTTTATATATCAATCACACAGACCGCAACGTACCATAAAATAGGAAATAATATTTGTACACAAATAAGCCCAAAAAGTGGCTGTGAATGTGGGAGGCAGTAGTTAATAAACTAAACATAACTTAAGAACCGTAAATCGTACAATAATAAATTATAGGCCAAAATAAAGCTTGTCATAAGAGGGGTATAAATATACATAATGTAATTGTTGAATAGTTATACAATAAGAATATTTATAGAATATCAGTCCATGAATAGTCCTCGGAAGTTACCTGTAATTTAATCTCCACTCGGATATAACACGTTAGTAGTAAGGGTTTATAGTCTATTCCGATGTTGATAATAAGGATTGAAAATTTGACCAATCCTTGCTGGGATATACGCATACTATGCAGACTGTCTTGATATAGCCAATATTTCATAAGTTATTTAAAATAGCATTTCGAGCTATGCTATGCTAGAAATGCTCTCACACAGCCACACGTATACAGCCTCTGCCAGGGAAGTCCTACTCACTGCCTTCTCGTGGCGGGGGTGTTGTCTACGAAAATGAGAGGACGGAAAGCGAATGTCCGGAGCTTTAACCGGATCCCAAACCAATGGTGCACATGGGCTCCAGTATCCTGCGGGAACAAATGGCGTATGAACCAATCGTTGGTCACCGGCTACCATGGGACTGCATCTTCTCACAGTGCTCCACTGCCTTGTGGATCAGACCTTTAGGTCAAAAACTCCGGGTGTGGCCCCCTGAGAAAACAACCTACTTCGGTCTGGGCACCTTGGCAATATCACAGTCCACACACACACAAATATGGTGTGGCGCATATATAATTGGTGCCCTCTTGTACCAATATTTATGTGTTGAAATAAATAAATAATCTAAAATAGATTGGTTAAGGGTAACGGTGGAATTCCGGCGCGAACATCAACATTGTGATTGAACATCCGGCTGATGAGTCCCAAATAAGATGAAACGCATATCCTAGATTCTACTGCAAAACCCAATCCATCTATTCTAAATCAAATAATGATTTGAATTGAATATAAGTTCACAAAAACATTATCTCCAATAGCTGGTTTATCAAAGATATATGATTAAATTGGTTCACAACTGTAAATAGTAATTTCCTACATATGCAATTATAAACTATTCCCCAGACCATTGAGTCTCAGCTTATCGAAAGTCATAACAATTAAGCTATTTGACTTGATAAATTTTATCCATTTCTAAAATGAAAAATGAGTCAACAAACCTAATAATGTTTACGACAAACATAAGAATTATGATTGGTAAGTAAACAAATAAAGAAATTCGATGGTGTCAAATCGGGAATTTTTTTAGCATACATTAAATACAGAAGTTCGAAAGAAATTTTAATCAGCATACATGTGCAAATAAACTATAAATTTTCAAAGTTAATTTTGAGTAGTTCCAAAGTATTCCTCAGAAAAGCCCATAAGAGCCCCTCCTCCCCAAAGTTTTATCCAATCAGTATTAGACAGACATCTAGAGATTGAAGTCACGTCCCTAACTGGACATTAACCTATACTGCTACTATATTTAGTACGGTTCCAGAAATTTCCAGCAGCCTCTCGTTTTGCTGTGTATCAATCAACCTCGGAGTAAAGCGTTCATTTTGCACTTTGCGCCTTTTCTCTTGTGTTCAAGTTGTGTATATGTAGCCTGATGGTTATTAAATGCGCCTATGATGTCGGATCAAGCAATCGTTTATCAAACTTATCAGTATCAATTTATTCATTTCAAGATACTTTAATTAAGTATTTGGTGATACTCTCCTATCACGAAATGATATTTTTGTTGGAGAAAAAAATAATATCAATGTATATACAATAAGTCAACAGTATACTTCATTGAATTAACTAGAATGATTTAAGACGATTCTGTAGTAAGTTATAAAAAAGTGGCAATAAAATAATATCATTTAACCAATTTAAGATTATTTATGTGCAAATTGGTAGATAAATGAGTGGTATTTCCAACCTGAACATTCTAATAAGGAGACTGCAGGTCCAAATACTTTAATTCAGTATGATTAATGAGGCCAGGTAGTAGGAGTTTAGTGGTCATATATATGACTCCAGTTCGATCGTATAAATGACTGTTATTAAAATATACATGTCGCCGATCCTCGTATATAACGATCGACTTAAATCACGTTGGTGAATAACGGAATTATATAAGTCGAATACGAGAATGTATTTCGAATACGTGTATTTCATACAATCTTTGATCTGAACAGACAACCAAGAAAATGAAGCGAAGATGAGAGAGAAGCAAAACGGATAGGAGTAGGTATGTGAGCCAACTCCATTTAACCAAGCGTGAATCGATATTTATAGTCAAACAAAAATAAGCCACTGACATGTGATGAATAAGATAAGAAATGCACACACGCTTACATAAAAACACTCAAGGTTGATAAACAAATAATCAACAAGGGAAAAATGTAGCTTGAGAAGAATGGATAAATTGGTTATTCCAGAAGCTAGAATAGACTATGTGAACATGACATTGCACCAGTCACTACAAGAGTATTAAGCTTTCATATTTAAATTGTACCTCGGTGATAAGTACACTGATTTGAAGTTGGTGAGTTACATGAACTAATTATTTAAGGTAAAGAAAAAACGGAGCAGAAAATAATATAGAAAAACGTTGAAAACCTAAATTTAATTGAATTAACTCACTCTCAATTGTTCTTTTCGTATTCTCTGTAATTCACCTGATTTAATTAGTGATTGGTGAAATTTAAAAGCTGTAGACCAAAATTCAATAAGTCCATCACCTGTTAGACTGGATACAAGTTGTACCTTATTTGGTTTTATACAAGTATGAAAAAAAAACAATTGTGAAGAATTATTATTCAGTTAACTTATATTAATACTTACTGAAGATAAAATAGATTTGAAGTTAGTTTTAAACGTGGCTAACATCAACAAAGAAATCATTTAAAAATCAGAAAGTTACTTTACAGTTAAGTTCTATTTCGAGATTATTTCTCAGTAGTGCACATAAATACAACACTAATCGGTAATATCGGTATAATATTTTGAAAGTGAAACTTACACCACATATGGTATTGGGTGCTGGAAATGCAGACCATTAGATTTTTAACTCATTTATCAAAAAAGTATAACACTCACAGCGATACCTGGAATTCCTGGGTACAATCAAGCATGAAATTAGTGGTGTATAACACTAAGAAGTTCTAAACGAAGGTAAAGCATTTTTTCAATACGTCCTGGTAACAACTACTTATCTAGATAATACTAGTTAGTGGTGAAAACCGACTTAATGTCGAACAATCCTTACGCTTCAGTTCTTTTCTCAGATCAGTGATACGAACAGTTAATTCTTTATTACTTATTAGAATAAGAATACTGTAAGACGAATTAACAGATGTATATATGTGCTTGGTCTTACGTTGTAGCTGATCGAATTAACAGATAGAATTTTATGTTATGTTTTTCGAATGTCATTATCCTCAAACCTATTTGATCATAAATCAACTTTAAACTTCAAGTATATGACAAAACTGCTGAATGAATAAACATGTTTCACAGGGTTTATCGGTCAATCAGTTGCAGCGTAGAACCTAGCACGTGTGTATATCGATCAAACTTGCCACACCCCATTTGGCACACCGAAACGAAAATGTCAGGCCAACTCCCACAGTAGCAGATGTATTTACAGTATCAGTGATGATAGAGATTAGGCATCGAAGACGCAATTGAAGAAGATATAGATTAGTGAAATAAAAACAATTATGAGGAATTAAGAAGCTCAGGACTTTAGGAAAGCGATTTTGAGCCACGTCATTAAAAGTCTGGAAACACTGGTTACGATAATGAAATGGACCCCAACCAGGTAGTCTGAACCTATTAACATGTCTCAGTATATTTGTTAATGATTTCATGGACTAATGCCATGGTTTGACCGCCCTTAGCCTTCTTTCAGCCTACTCCTACACAGTTTACAAATAACAATGAATTTCTTGAAATATCCTAAAAATGAAAACATTTTATGTAATATAAATAACAGTAAATTAGTGTAGAACTACTAAAGATTTAACTGTTGAGCCGTTCGGATATTATGGTATTCAGGTGATTCATGTACATGTACCAATATTGAGATGTATTTTTTTCGTAAATATTCAAGACTATACAGATAATTAAATATGTATTCGGCAATTTAAAAACAGTGATTACTTGTTTGAATAAATAACTTCTGACAGAGAAAAGTCGTTTTTTTACGAACACAGATTTTTTTAATCAAGATTCATGAAAAGAGAAATGCACTGCTTCATATTTTAAAAAAATTCGCTCCGATAAAACAAGCAATTGTCTGTCGTCAAGTAGTGAAAATTTAGTGTTTACAACTTAATGACTTTTAATTCTTGTAATGAAATGCCGTTGAGCATATTAGGATTAATGAGTTAAATATTCAGATCACTGAATCCCAACTAATGACCAATCGCTAGAGAGTGGATGCTAATTATTTCGCACGGGTCAAGACTTTGAAATATTTAGTGAATCTAAATTACTTCCTATTTTAGATTCTTGTATTTCATAAGTTAAATAAAGTAACTGGTTTACTTTCGGAATCCAATTAGGTCTTCGACAACGCATATATTTGAGAGCGTTCGAATATTCTTTAGCAATAAGACGAGCTTGATGCAATAGTTCACCATCTGCTTTATTCACTAGAACCAGATCAGCAACTTCAACAATCCCTCGTTTTATGCCTTGTAATTCATCACCTCCAGCAGGAGGAATAATCAAAACAAACATATCAACCATATCTGCAGCAGCGAACTCTAACTGTCCAACACCTGTAATCATAAGGGGACAAATTATGTTCAAACAATTAGGCGATGTACGTAAAAATTTCCGAATTTTATGAAGATATAAATTTCTAAAGGGAATTTTCAATTAGGATTCAGTTGTAGAAATTCCATACGATAGACTTCATTACAGATGTTAGGCTGCATAACTCAGAAGTAAAACTATATACCTAAAAGAACAACTTTCATCACGTAGTGACAAGAATTACAGGCTTGATCAAATCTAGCAGTTACTGGACAGCTATTTATGTGGAACAGATGCTAACGAACATATCTTAAATTTTAACTAATGAAGCATATAAGCAAAATTCACAGGAGGACTGCCCTGTAAGGAACTGCATCCGGTCGAAAAACCACAACTACGTTGACGCATCAGGAGCACTGCAGTTGTTTTTTAAGAAAGTACTTTGTAAATCATTATACTGAAAATCAAAATAAATGTAACTAAACTATGAATAACATAAAGTTTTTTTCATGAGTTACATTTTAAAATAGTTATTTGTAATAAAGAATGATATGTTTAGTCATTGATGCCAACGGAAGACTGTCGATCAAATTACAATGGGACTGTTACTCAATGACGAATCAGCCGAGCTAATCCAGTCCCACAGATCGGTCGTAGCTTAGTGGAAACATCTCCACGTAATGTTGGGTGATGCAAGTTCGGATCTCACAGAGGGTAACAATCCCCTCAAAACTGAAGATACACCGTGATTATGAGCTCCAATCAGCAAGTAACTTAGGTTCAGGAATCCCCATATATGCCTCAAACCTCATGACATCAAATTAGTTCATTCATTTCCAAACATATTCCATATGAAATTGGAAGAAAATTACGTCTAATGGCAGTGGCGAATAATACATGGAGATCACAATCATCGCTATCGATTTATTAATGCAAAAATTTTCACGAAATTGTCTGTCTTTAAACATAGTTTAACTTGACCAAACATTGTAAATTAATTTTTTCATTGACGAACACTCCATTTATTAACATACCCGAACTACGTAGCTCACTTTGAAGACATACTGATCTCTTTTAAAATTCAATTGATGTAAACCAATATATCACCCCTACATTTCGATTTATTAACATCTTGAATCTATTCACAATTCTAAAAGAAAAAACAAGAAATATGAAATTACAAAATTCAAACACGAACATACCAACAGTTTCTACGAGGACAGTTTCAAATCCTGCAGCTTCACATAATAGGATGGATTCACTAGTTGCACGAGCAACACCACCTAAATTTCCACCACTAGGGGATGGTCGTATGTAGGCATTCATATTACTGGACAATTCAGGCATTCGAGTTTTATCGGCCAAGAGACTACCACCAGTTGTATGTGAAGAAGGATCTATTGCTAAGACAGCTACACGATGAAGTTTTCTGATTTCTTGATTGAAATGTTCTTCGTCTAGTGTCAACCGCTGCTTACCATAAGATTTATAAGAAGTATTAATTACAGGATTCCATGGTTTACTACCTGTAAGGCGACCACCAAATGCTTCAATAAATGTACTTTTCCCAGCACCTGGTGGGCCAGAGAGACCTTGAAAGGGAATCAATAATATTAGATAAATTTCACTAAAAAAAGTAGAAATCAGTGCATTTTTTTGCAAAATTTAGTCAATCCATAGACTTCCAAGATATAGTTTGTATGTTCTGACCCTGCATCCTCTATTTCGATTTAAGTAGCCGGGAAGTATCGCTAGAATATTTACGAAGAGTGTGACTCTAAGCCTACTACATTAACATGTACTTTATAAATCAGTTGGATTATGATTAGTTAACTAATTATTACGCACCATATGACTTGAGATAACGTTACTTAACAAAAGGCTCGTGATGTGAACAGAGAAAAAAAAAGCTATGACAAGCAGCAGAAGCTATTTTGAGGGACGTTATATCAATCAATTCAAACCTTCTAAAACTAACATTTAATTTTGTCCGTAGTTTATTCTGAAAACCATAATCTTTCTTTTGATGTATGATTCACTGACAAACCCTTTTTAATCACAAAGTTATTGTGATTTAAATGTAACTTTGGCTACTCTATTTTTCTACCCTAATCCCCAGTTATAAACAGGACAGTATTTTTCGAATTGTTTGTACATTGTGGTCATGTTAATTATCTATTTATTCATGCATCTTTTTCTGCTAATTTGGATCGGAGTGTGAGTCGGAATTAGGAATAAATCAAGTAGTTTCAGTTGACTCGTCTCCTATCTCTCTCTCTCTAGCTTGTCAACCAATCAACCGAGAGAGCAGTTTTCGTCTCTCTACTCAAGGCAGTTAGTCTAACTTCGAACTCATGCGATTCTAGCCTCAAGGTTGAACCAGTAAGCTTATCTTGTCAAGGTCTAAACCTAAATTGAGACAAGTTATCTTCTGCATATTAGTGGGTAGATATATCAAGGATGTAACAGTTCATAAAGCGTAAGTTTAATAGATAAAGTACAGATATTGATAATCAATATGAGACAACGATTGCAGAGAAGGTCAACTTGAACTTATGTCCCAAATAATGTTTTCTATAAGTCATGCTTTTAGAAGTTTCATTTAATCTGTACAGTTATCGTTGCGAGCAGGTTAACAAACAATGAAATACAAGTAGATTCTTTTTTATTAGTCGATGCCGTAAAAACCTACTAAAACCAACGTATGAAGGACCTTATCGTGACAGAGAGCGCCGAAAAATACTTCATAAGCACAGATAGAATGCCTATATAGACAGACTTAAACTGGCTTTCCTCGATAGTGAGCAGGAAGGCAGCACTAAGACAGACAAGCAGTCTTTTTCTTTCGACATACAGAAAGCTTAAATTAAAAATCATGTCGCCGGAAAATCTAACTGTACAACTAGAAGTGGTGGAACAATAAATAAATACAAATATTTTGTACATTTTATTGACTAATTATTTACTTCTTTGTATAACTGTCAATTCATCCGTTCACCAACATAATGAAAGTTGATAATAGAAGTAAAAGTAATATTTGGTGATAAAGATAGGGTTTTATTACGAACGAGGCGATGTGGCATACTGTTAGAGGTATGAAGGAAATTGTTATTTCTGTTACCCAGACCGTGGAAAAATATTTCTTTAAGGGGTATCTGAAAGGGAAACTAAACCAGTGGTAGTTTTGGCAACCTGAGAGCCTGACCGTAGAGCTAAAGAGACATTTTGGACACAGGCTACATAGAAGTTTTGTGACAATTTTCTATGTGTTAGCATTGCACTTCAAAATGATCTATTGAAGAAGACAGTAATCCATTGGGTGAGATATTTTCAGAGTCGGGGATTCCGAAACTTGTCCCTCTGCTGTGAGGAGGCAGCATCGATGCAGATGCTGTTCATTAGAGAAATAACTTATTGTTGTCACAACCCTGTACACTCAGAAGTACAGCTTCTCCCGAAAACTTAAAATTCATTCGAATATATGAAAGATAATTGTCCACTTAATGGTTTGACTTCTCGTAGACTGCTTCAAAACGACGTCTGAACTAGCAAGCATTGCGTTGCTCGTCGAGGAGTGATAGTTGAGCATACGAAACATGTCTTAACCACGTCAGTCAATGAAGATTTACAACTTCACCTATCGACTCACCACCTCTGTAAAGCACAGCATGCTTAACCTTAATATCGCTCACTCAGTCATTCCTGGAAACGCATTCAGTGCTTCGAAGACTGATCGTAACTGCTATTTTGAATTGGTGATCGCGCTGTCATGTCATCAAGCTATATTGACTGAAATTTTTCAGGTCCTACCGTCCCAGGAGGGTTGTCCGAGTAATAGTAAGTCTAGAAACAAAAACTTAAGGTCTGAGGGTGAAGCTGTATTGCTGAGTTTGCAGGGTTGTGACAACAATAAGTTGTTTCAATTAAATGAACATATATATTGGAGGATTTCTTGAGAGAGTAGAATTCTCAAAGTTGAAATCACGAACCGGTTTTAGCTAGACCAGCATATTTATTAGTCTGTATGCATATTTTTGACTAACATTCAGTAATTAATGTTATATCATCAATAAGTGTGTATGTGTTGACTACAGAGTTATATATCATCGTTACTTTTTGTTAGGAATTCATATAATTAACATTTTCCCTTTTTGCTATGGTCAACAACGTACAAGTACAATAAGTTTGTGTATTAACATATATTGCATTCCATTATCCAACATGCTTATATATATATATATATATATATATATATATATATATATATATATATATATATATATATATATAGCTGAGAAAAGATGGTTAACTTTACTGATTTCAGTGAGACTGAACAATCTCCACAACACTATACTTATAAAGATAGGTAGTATTAACATCACTTATAAAATTTTTGTGGTTACTCACATTTTTTGTAACTTCATTAAGTTGTCCAATTGCTAATATCGACCAAAAAACGTTATTTATGTCGGTATAAAACTGTCCTTGTTATTTTGATGACTATATAGATTACCGTATGATCATGCACTTGTTTCATTACGCACTCTCGTTCTCTCCTCTGTTACTGTTACATAATCAGGTTTCTAATATAATTGTTACACATTTTCCCAACAATTTCCTCCTCAACAATATTCTGGTAAATTATATATCCTAACATCTCAGTCAAATCGAATTCCTCGTGTTTGACAATCCCGTACCATAACTGGGAAATTACATCCAGACTTTATGAACACGCGGATGCTAGAAATTTAATAAGTAACCCGCTGTATTGCTATTGCATATCGAACTCCTTAGGCAATGGTCTCCTACTAGGACTCTGGAAATCTTCTCTTGAAGCTAGTCACTAGTGTGCACGTGATAATTATTAGTACGGAGTTGTGGAGATTTCTTTAAGATTACGAACAGATCTAAGTTAAAAAACCATTGAAAATATGGAGGCACTGAACGGCCTTTTTGTTCCAGTATCATATTTTGACTTTATTAATACAGTTGACTTGTTTATGCACATTCATTTTGAGTAACTTTATAAATATTTTTGTACTTATACTTTTCGGTCCACTATATTATTACCTCTTAATCTCAAAACAAATTGCAAATGGTAAGTAGTATATTGTTTAAGAATGACATTCAGTGTATATAACATTGAAATTTCATAGGAAATTATGTAGGTTAGTTTCACTTGGTAACAGACGTTAGTAGTTGACCACCTTAAGTCACTGAGTAATAATGATAGTAACACAATAAAAACTCAAAACATTATTTTTTATTAAAAAGCAGCTAAATTAGTTAGGAAGTTGGAAACATTTTGGTCAAGTATGCAAATAAAACTACTGAAGAACAAAATGTGAGAAATTAGCAAATTTAGTTATGAGTACATTGCATACTGAAAACTATGTAACCAATTACCTATTTATGTAACTGGATTAAGTCACAATCGTCATGACAACTAGTGATACAACTCAGATGACACAATGTTAGTAAGACCTCAACTAATCTAGTTTTTTGTTAAATGAGTTATTTCTCTTAAACATAATCGCGATAGTACTTTTCAAATTCATATCTCCACACTAACCTGTAATTCAATTGTTTGTTCTCACTTTTAGTTTACTAATTTTGTTGTATCCCAAGGGCGCTGTCATTTGATATATGGAGAGTTGCTACATCATAAAACTGTCTTCTTGTATATCAAGCATTTCTTTTACTTCTATCATCTCTGTCTCCCATCGCGTTAATGATTATTGTTGAAGTGTCGTACGTCAGTCGGCCGATCTATCGAGTCCGTGCAGATCAGGTCTCGTATTAGAAGAATATTCCAACCGTTCGTAATTAGGAATTACCGTAGGCCACAGTAAAACATAGTATATAAACCCAAAGCTGTGAAGCGAAATTCAAACAGAAAAATAAAAGAATTACCGGACTGAGTCATTACGTGTGAGACAGGATTTTGGAAGGGAAGTTTGAACAAGCGTCTGCAATTCACATCAGGATACTATATTTAGACAACCCCCTTCATCGATTTAAATGACTTTATGTGCTGATATATGAATGAATATACAGGATGTTTTTTAAGCAATGAATGATAGAATAGTACAAAAAAATTAACTTACCAATTCTGAATGTAAACTTTCCAGTTTTTAGTTCTTGGTGCGCCAAATGTTTTATTACTGCATCAAGAATATATTGACCCTCAGCACGACGTTCAGCTTTAGAAGATTCCAAAAGTGTAATTGCTCTTGCTAAACTATAACGATTACCTTGAATTAAGGAATCTGCTAACGTCTTAGCATACTCTGTTTGGTTAATAGACAATGAAGTTATCTTTTGAGATATAATAGGAATAGAAGAATGGATATACTTTTTAGAGTGTTTACATGAAAACACTCTGAAACGACCATACGATATATGAATATGAGAACAAATACGAAGCATGATTTCAGTTTATTCTGAGATAAATTGATGCATGTTTTTGTCACCTCAAAGTATCTTTTCAATAAAACAATGATAAACAGTATTTAGACTGAAAGATTAAACCTATTTTTCAAATAAAAACAACACAAAACTTGACATTCCTACAGAAATTAAATACTTCAAATAAGTAAATAAAACAAATTTGTGAATATGAAGGTCAATTAATAGAAAATGTACACGATTCAAAAAAGTTGTTTTGCTAGTTCATAGTAATAACTGAAAACCTGAACCTAACAAGAAAGTGAATTATCATTCTGACCAATGATAAAAACAATATGGTCAAGATTTAAACATATAAACTATTTTAGTAATCAATGTTTCAAAATGAAATTATGGAAACATTATTTCAAAATAATTATTAAATACACTTCATTTAACCCAACAAAGGCATAGTGTCAATTGAGTTACAAAATCACGGCTAGATAATCTCATGCCAAAATTGTGAGAACAACAATATATATCACAGGTACAATTAAAATCAACGTTTATTGAGAGAAAAGGCGCAGCAAAAAGCGAACAATATATATTGGGAGTTTATTGTCTAGACGTATTTTATTGGTCGACTGAGTAGTAAATATCTTTTTTTCATTAATTTCACAAATAATTAAACACTTGTAACATGATACATTGGCAGACAGACAAACGTCATCATCACAGAACCTAGCACAGATCTGTATCACTCCAAGCTCCCATAGACTATGTTCCACAGCCACAAGGGAGAACAGAGCAGTATACACACCCTTTAATTGGGAAATAGACATTACGCTTACGCCACGAGTGACGTATGTTGGCAGGAACCAACAGGGTTTTTTGAATTCATTCCAAGATTTCTTTGGATACAAACCCTCCAGGGCTGACGAAACGGTCAAAGAACTCAGCTGCTTCACTCCCACTACAAGTTCGACAGTTGAAACAGAAAATGCTTGAAGCATCACTCTGTATTTAGAGGGAGAAAAACACACCCTAAGCATCCTAACGTTATTATTCATGAAGATCAGAAAACTGCATTTTATCCGTGTTTTCGCTTAATAGAATTATGTCAGCTGAGTGTTCTAAGTCAGCAAGAGAACATCCTGAGATGCCACCCCTGAAAATTTAGGTAGCGAAAGTATATTTCTGAGGGGACACCTATGATCACTAGGATATAACTCGACTGGTAGTATCTAGGTAGAGAGTTTACATCAGATGTATGTACCTATTTCAATGGTAAACATTGACATATAACCTCTTGCTCGGCAGAGTAAAATGCTGCATTATTATCAAGGAATACAATTATAATGTTGGGTCTTATGGCTCCAAATTATAACTAGTAGGACTTTATTTAAACCATGTTTCTCGTATTGACTGGAGAATCCACTAAAAATGACTAGATGATGATGAACAACCTTTGATCTGAATTCATTATTTTCAAATTCATTATGAATCTCGTCAGCAGATAACGAGTCATTAAAAAGTATAGTGAGTGGTCAGTAATTTAAGGGACTTTTGTGAATTTCCCATTCGAGTTTATTAGGGATATTTATTTATTTGAACACATAAATATTAGTACATAGGGAAACCGAATACATATGCGCCACACAAGTCACTTGATTTGTGTGCGGGCTGTGATACTGACCGGGTGTCCAGATCGAAGCAGGTGGTTTTCTTAGGGAACCACACCCCGAGCCTTCGACCCAAAGGTCTGATTCACAAGGCAGCGGAGCAGCGTCAGGAGATGCAGTCACATGTTAGCCGGTGACCAACGATTGGTTTATACGCCATTCGTTCCCTCAGGATACTGGAGCCTATGTTCACCATCGGTTTGGAATCAGGGTTTTCCAACTCCCCTAGGTGAACCCTCTGAGTCCACCAACCCGGTTAAAGCGCCGAACACTCGCTTTTCGTCCTCTCAACTTTGTAAACAACACCCCCGCTACGAGAAGGCAGTGAATAGGAATTCCCTGGCAGTGGTTGTATACGTGTGGCTATGTGAGAGCATTGCGAGATGGAGAGCTAACCCCCGCACCCTCGGCCATACTAGGGCATTTGGGGGTAACTGAAGGGTAGCTTAAGACCAGTCGAACTGCGACCCGAAGTGTTCCACCCATATATCTAATCTCATAGATTGAGAGTGAATGGTAGATCCGTCCTTTTCCAAAAGAGCCTTACTAACACCTGCTTTTTTAATACCTGTTTGCTTGTTCAGTCAGTAGAGTTGTCTAGTGTTACCTATTGCACTACCTGTTCCATCTATTTTGCTTTCGTTGCTCAACCAATGCTCGTAATTATTATATGAACCCGTTGTTAGTTTGATTTTGAGTTGTCACTCTTCACCATCCCCCAAGCCTGTCAGGATAATTTTTGAGAATTTATTACTTTAGTAGATGCTCATTGGACTTTCATAACCTTTTGAACTAATTTATCGATAGATATAATTACTATATTTAAAGTTGTTTGGATATCTTTTCAGGCTTTTTCAGAATGAATCGTTTCTTTAAGATCGATTAGATATTTATATATCTTTCACATTTTCATCCCCGAACTGATTTCTAAGTGGGCCTCCTGATGTGACTTTCCTACATCTAGTAAAATACATAGAAATACGTTTAAATCGAAAAATGACTAAAAAAGCTTTTTAAGTGGTAATGACATGTGAATGACATCTGAATGCTAGAACTAAGTTACTCTCTATGGGTAGAAAGTGGAGATGTAAACAAACAACAGGTCATTGGAAGTCTGCTTAAAAAGTTTTAAAAGGACAATAATATACACAAAAGTAGTAGTTATCGTGTTGAACACTGAGCAGTAAGTTTAATCAACGTTACAGTTTTAAAAATCCAGTACTACAATCATTTTAAATGCTTTAAAAATTAGGACAAAGAAGTGCTTAACTTAAAAATGATTTCACCAAAATGTGACTAATCTGTTGAAAAAATAAACTGGTGTGCAATAAATCTTTCTAAATAGAACCAGCTAATAAGTTTCAGAATGATTACGATATTGACAATAACAGGTTAAGATTAATAAAGCTACAGTAACATGAAGAGCAAGATATGAAACAAGCATCCAACCAATATGATAATAACAAACAGTTTATCCTAAGATTTATATGGATAACTTCAGATAGTTTCGGTATCTGCCAATAATTACCTTAAATTATATATTTCAATAAAATTGTAGCAATGCACTTAACTAAATTCTTTTTGAAATTAGCTTCTATCGCTGATGAAATCAGCTTCAAAATGAATATATATGGGAGAGTGTGTGTGCTGAACAACTACTTCAATTCAGTTTTGGACTTCTCAATTGTTTTAATTCATGGAATGTAATACAGTCGCGTCATGTGATGAACATGATACTTTTGTAGTTATGAAAACACAGGAGACTGGATTTCAATTCAGCGATTTAAAAGTATTATACTGGATGAAAAACCTAAAAATCCTTGTTTTAATTATGTAGATGTAGTTTAACTTCTAACAAGGACAAAGTTAATGTCCTTCCATGATAAACTTTTTTTAAAAAGTTAAATAATAACAAGTTATTCAAGTAAACAAATGTTATTTCCTAATCTATTTACGAAAATAATTTTATATATATAACATCGAATTTATTGGTCGTTCTGTTTCACAAGTTCACTTAATTACATAAATGCATAGGACACCTTTCGGAAGAAATTTACGTGTATATGTGTGTTCATACTGAACCCAAATTGATATATGTGAGCAGTGTTATTTAATGTCATGTACACTTACCTAACTAAACAATTTTATTTTTAATTATATAATATTGAAGATCATCAAATATAATCCGATTGATCATCTTCTGAACACTGAATAGTACTAATAGTAGTCATAAGGCAACAATCAATAACAAACCTTATAATAGGTCAAATAAATTAAGATATGAACTATACAACAAACAACATTATGTAATGTACTAAAATTCATTCATATTGAAAAATAAAACAATACTTTAGTATGCTGTTTATTCTGAAAAGAAAAAAATACATAAGTAACCATGCAAATAACCAACAACAAGGAAACAGAGAAAAAAATAACGTAGATACCATCATTATCAATATATTCATATATCTAAGTAGTCTATATATACGTAATGTACTTCACACAATAATGGTAATGATTGTGTATATACACAGAAAAAAAGTGGGATAACAAAATGATACGATTTTTCTGTAAAAAAAATCTACATTTACGGTTAATGTGAGTAAATATGTAGAAAGGAGAAGAGAAACAAATGAAGAAAAAAGACAGAAGTACATAACCAGATAATACTGATGAATATATGCATACTGATTTTATTGTTAACAAAATCAGTTTACAAACTAATCATTTTCATCATTATTATCATGATGATAGAGAACAATGGTTGAATATATGGTTGAAAAATAAACAAATTATAAATTGTTTAATAAATATTTAGAAAAAAAAAGAAATCAAACAAAACACAACACAGTGATAGTAAATAGGAAGATCTACATTGAATTTATAAAAAAAAAAACAATACACTAATTGATATTTTGTAATTTTCTCTTCATGGAATAAAGATGAGCAGCAGTGAAAGTTTAGAAAAGACGAAAAGAGTAAATGTTTAATTTCTTTTTTTTTCGGTTTTATAAAAATAATCATCACAATAACTCTGTGCAATGTTCATGCCTTTTCACTCTTTTTTTTTCTAGAAATGTACAGAGGCAAGAGATGGGAGGAAAACGACAAGATACAAAGAAAATAAAAATCTATGAGTAAACAACTATCACAAAACAGAAATGAACTCTTGAAATAAAAACTAAAAAACCAAATGTTCAAAGTGATATCAAGTGAAACGAATGTATAAGAGAAAATAAGTTTTCTTTAACAGAGAGTAATAAGTATAACAAATGAAAGAGGTATTGTTTTTTAACAAGAGTTATTTTTTATAATCATTGCTGTCAAAATTCACATCATATTGTTACTATTGTGCAATTGGCACTAATAATGAATAATAGTAGGTGATTAAACTAGTGAGAAATATTTACGTATA